GGGGGGAGAGGGTCTCCAGCAGGTACGAACCAAAGTTCCCCATCTCTCTCGCACCCACAAGACCCACCACTAGCTGGAGCAGGGGGATGCAGGGCAGGACATGGTGGGGGTCGTGCTGGTGAAGTCTGGCTCTGCCGGGAGTGCGCGGGCGCGGGGGGCGGGTCCTCCGGGCGCGGGGCGCGGCGGGACGGGGGAGCGAAGGCGGGTGGGCCGCGAGAAGCAGCCTGGTTGGTCGGCGGAGCCCGCGCTGCCCCGCGACAAAAACCGGCAGAGCCTTCAACCTGGTCTTCAGTGAGCCGCTCAGCACACAGCAGGGACAGCAGCAGAAGCAGCCTGGTCGAGCCGACCCGCGGAGCAGCCTCTCCCAACGACCACCTGGCGGCAAGCACCTCGCCGACGACACCCCGCCGCCGACACCCCGCTTCCAACATCCCGCCGACAACGTCCCCCCTGACAGAGCGACCCACGCCGCTCATCTGCCAGACGCGTCCCGGACACTAGGTAAGGAAGCATCATCGGCGTTCGGCGATTAAAGTCGCGTCTTTCGGCGGCGCACGTCCGAATAATGTACAAGTTCCACGCCGCAGTCAGGTCCACGCCCCGTTTATCGGAGGACTACCGCTGTGCGTTCAGGAAGCATCCGCTGCGCCCACCTACGCCTACCTCCCCGCCACGGCCTTCGGGCCAGGCGCGGAAAAGCCCAGGGCGGGAAGGCACGTCACCCTAAAAAGGTGTCAGTCCCGGCCCCTTGTACTACCTTGTTGCACCACCTGAATGCGCACCCCTGCAGGGTGATTCTGCTGCACTGTGACTAGTCTCCTCCTTATCCTCCCACCTTATGCTTGTCACACGAGTGCCACGAGGACGGAGGTACGAAAGCGCTGTGCGTTATCACCCTCTGTTGACGTCCCCAGCCCGACTCCCCCACACACACGACCTGCGCTCCCCCGACGACCTCTGCGCCCACAGCCACCGCGCCCCCAAGGAGGGCTTAGGCGCCGGCAGCCCTCCACGCCTGTGGCCTCCGCACACCGTACACCGTCCCGTGTGGTGCGCTAAACTGTTTTCCTGTAAAAATGCAAACAACTCTTCGCTCTTTTGGGGGGACTCGTCACCCGCGCACTCCCGCCGAGTCCGCTGCGCCGCGCCGAGTCCCAGCACGCCGCCCTCCACGGGGGCAGCGGACGGCGGCGGCCTTGCCCGGCGGCTCGGACGTGGACGTGCGTAATGGCGCCGTTTGGGTGCCCTTTTTTCCGCCGATTTCGCCCGCTTTAGAGCTGATGACGCCCGCCGAGCCGAGCCGAGCGCGCGTAAGAATGCCGCGCTGGCCTACTTAGTTGTTGACTTACCCCCTCTAGCCCGGCGGAGCCCGGCGGCGGCCATAAGGCACTTACGCCCGTTTTTAATTTCCTCCCCTCCGGCTCTGAGTGGGGACGTCGTCAGTGCATGCGTGGGGGCGCGGGCGTGGCGGGGCGTGGCGGGGCGCGTCGCGGCGGGGTTGCGGGGCGGGGCGGGCGGTGGGGCTTGGGCGCGCGCATACGCTCCGAACATTACCCACGCAGGTATGATCCGCGGCGCACTTATACGACTGCACTAAAGTCGGGGAGGCCTATTGAACCGCATCGCAGTCGCGCGGCAAACGGATTCATATCGCAGGGTGCCGCCCTCGGCGCGTCGTATAAGTGGCGGGGCGGGGCGCGGACCAGCAGCTCATCCTCCCACAACGACGACGCTGAGAACGCAGCGCGGGCAGGGCCGCGGGACCGGGTTGGAGCCAGGCCGAGGTACATACATGGGAATGTTAGGACTGGAGAACGCGTAATGTAATATTATAGTTTAACGTGACCACTACAGCTTTTTGTTTTGGAGACGTTGACTACCAGGTGTGTCAGAGGTTGTGGGGTCAGGACGGTCGGTCAAGGGCGGCATGGAAGACGGGCGCCACGGATTCTGACAATTCCTCCCTCCCATTTCCAGCCCGTTTGAACGGCATTTATAAAAATATATAGTGTTTGCCTACTTTCAGGCTGATAATTGTAGTAGCCTACCTACCTAACAGGTAGATTGCTAAGATTGATACGGTTCCCGCGAACCTCTCCCGTTCTAAAGACCATGTAATGTGTAATATGTTCGGATGGAGAAGGTCGGCATGGGCCAGGGCCAGCAGGAGCCCGCCCGGTCGAGGCCAAACGACGTTGTGTATTTGGTCTGAAATACCCCGTCGAGCCTGGTCGGCGAGCAGGTCGGCCGCCCCGCCGCGCGCCCCTGTGGCTGCACGCGGGGCCGCCCCCGCGGATGCGCGCCGTCTAATCGAGCCGATCGCGCGCGGCTCAAAAGGCTTCGCGGCGCCGCAAAGTTTAACGGGTCGGCCGCCCGAAGTTGGACAAGTCGCCGCGCGCGATGGCGGCCCGGGGATAGGAGGGAGACAAGGCAAGAGAGACAAGGAGGGGGAATTAATTTCCCTTTTCCAAAGACGTTATTCGCAGAAGTCGGGAGCCGTTCGGTGGCTGCGCGGCACCATAGCAGCAGCAATAAAGGCCGCGGGGATAAACACCTAACGCCACCCCGTTACCCTGTGCTATAGCTGTGGACAACGCCTCGGCCCGCCCTCCTCCCCATCCCCGTCCTCGTCGGTTTGTGCCGCATCCGTTTTTCGTTAAGTAATCTCACTTGTCATTTCCCCTCAATTTTTGCCAGCAGGTCGGCCCCGTCCAGTCGCCCCCAGGGGTGCGGCCGCCCCTCCCCACTCCCTTCCTCTCGGCCATGCTAATCAGACCGATAATTGTCCCGAGCGGCGTTTTATTTCGCACTTCCTGTCACGGCGGCCCGAGGACCGCGGACCACGGGGAGGGTCGCATAAAGAGCACCCGTAAAATCGTTTCCTTGAGACAAGGCGCGCTGCCACAACCTGCTTATACATCGATGAGATTTCTCCGTGAATAAACCCATGAGCGAATTGTCTTTCCTTATTCTAGGCAAAATGTGCCTTGTTTCTTGGAAAACTACGTAACTGTAAGAACGGTTTTCGTTAAAACCGCGGTTAAAACAATGGAAATTGCTTTGAAACACGGAAAAACTAGCTACTTCGTGGTTTTTAAAGGTGACAATTTTCTGGGTAAGGAGCTAAGGAGCAAGCCGACGCGACGGGCAAGGGGCCCCGCGGGGACAGTCTCGCGGCCGTAAAACCCTGCGCTGCTAACTTAAAAATGAGGTTCTTAACACGCGTCTTCAATGCGATTGGCGAGAAACTTCGCTCTCGCATACATCCACCCACCACACGTCTCCACTGGAAATCGAATGGCTTTTCCCAAGCATACACTACTTCCGATGACCGAATACCTCACAGTTTACTACACATTCTGGGTTTTGTCAAGCGTAAGACTAATAGTTCGTACCATCAATTAAAGATGGTGTACGAAAACCCAGAATGCATTACTGAAAGAGCATTCAGGGTTTGAAAAGTTGACGGGCTGGTATGTCCCGAGCTGTGACTGATCGTCTGGCTGGAGCCTCCCCCTTCGCTCCGCCCCCGCTTCGGGGCCACCGCTCCTCCAGAGCACTCCCTCTATCCCCCACCGCCCCGCCACCGCCCTCCCGCCCTGCATCCGCCCGGAGTCACACCCACTTGGCGGTTAGCTTCGTGGTAAATTGGCGGAATGAGAGTTGAACGGTTGCCCCGCGCTGGGCGGCGGCGGCAAAGCTTCGTGTCTCATTCTGTTTCCACCGCCACAACCCAGAGCAGCCAACGGCAACAGCAGGGCCAGAGGGCGCAACAGGGCCAGC